GAGTTGGCAATTATGTCATTTTGTCTTACGTCCTCCTGGTGGCGCTGTAGGATAAGCACTGCACTGCTAACTGCAAGATCAATAGTTCAAATCTACCAGCCGCTCTGAGGTAGAAAGATGAAGCGTTCTGCTCCTATAAAGATTTTGCTATTAAGGATGGTCAAGTAGGTTCCAACCCATAGACACCTTGTATAGGGTTTCTGAGGAGCGGCTGGTGAATTTGAACTGCCCATCTTGTGGTTCAAACCAACCTTGAGGTTGAGTGCTTATCTTATAGTACCATACCAGGACACCCTTGAAAACGCTCTATGGGGTGGTTTTGAGTCAGAATTGACTTAATGGCAGTGACTTTGGGGTGGTAACGTGACTCCATGCCCGGCAGAACCCAATACAAAGAATGCCTGAGAAAAGAGCATGTGCCTGAAAGGTTTGATGAATAAATAATGCATTTCAAAAGTGTTCACTTAATAAGCATTTATTGAAAACCAGCTGCATACACCACCCTGTGGTAAGCCTTATTAAAACACAAACAACAAAAACAACTAAAAAAAAGTTGCTGTTAATGAACTCTGACTCATAGAGACCCCACAAGACAGAAAGAACTGTCCCACAGCCTTTCCAAGCCTGGAGGCTTTGGAACGCCAACTGCCCTACCTTTCTCCCTCGGGTGCTGTTGTTGTTGTTGTTATGTGCCGTGGAGTCAGAACCGACTCATAGTGAGGACCCTGTACAGGGTTTCTGAGACTGTAAATCTTTACAGGAGCAGAAAGCTTCATCTTTCTCCCGCGGAACCATTGGTGGTGTCGAACTGCTGACCTTAAGGTTCGCAGCCTGATTCATAACCACTACGCTATCAGAGTAGAGACTCCCAAAATGCACAGCTCTTGGTGCGGGGTGGGGGAGAAATGTTCCAGAGGAGGGGGTTCTGTACTCCCCCAGGGAGATCAGGGAAGGCTTTCTGGAGGAGGAAGAGGCTTGGCTGGGGCCTCCTGCTCAGACCTCGTCTTCTGAATGTCCACCCAGCTTCCCTGTGGCTCCTTCTGAGCAGTGTTCCTCTAGGAACCCCTTTTCCAGTCTGTGTGCCACTCCCTCAAAGGACAGGGCCCGTCTTTACAAGGCCCAGCCCCTCACCACTTCACTGGGGCTCCTGGGATACTTGTTGAGCGCTGGCTGGAAGGACCACCAGGGACAGCAGACAGCAGTCCAGTCCTTGTCCGCAGCCAACACTGAAATCTATCCCCTGAGGCCAGCCCTGCTCCAGACCGAGTTGGTCTCTTAACTGCTTTGACATGCCACTGGCAGATGCTTTAAGTAATTGAGCCATGACCCATTTTACACATTTGCTTCTTTATACCTTCATGGTCCGATGCCCCTGGGCTAGTATCCCACGTTAGACACAGGAATAGGGGGCTCAGGAGAGGGGTTCCCTGCAGGCTGTGCTGTGAGTCAGCCCTTTAGCCAAGTTCTTCTCCGGACTGGCTCCCTCTGGGTCTGAATTTCATACTTTTCTTGGGAATCAGGTCCAAGGGGAGCGACTCCGTGAGGCTCAACAACGCTGAAAGGCAGAAAATGGGGCCCATGGCCACTTAACTTCCAGGAGAGTAGACGTCAGGATAGTTTGTAAAGCGCTTAGTGCAGTGCCTGGCACATTTTGGGCACCAGTTTGGGGTATTATTAATTCACGTCTTCTGTGTTCCTCCTTTCTATGGGCTGAAGACAGCAGCTGGCTGTGGGAGGTGGATGCTTTAAATACGAGATGGTGAGGACAAAAGGAAAACAGAACAGGGTGGTGGCTTGGGCTCAACCTCTACCAACGCCCACAATCCTGGGGATCTGGAGACTCTGGAGTCCTCTTGCCTGTTGGGAGGAACCAAGTCTTGCTCCACAGTTTGCTGGCTCCTGCCAAGGGGTGGGGTCCCCACAGCCTGAGGTGTCACCTCCCGAGAGCCCAGGTTCCGGAGTTCTCTGCATCTCTTCCAAGACAACATTAAATATTCACCAGAAGATGTCTCGGGGCCCCACTGGGCGCTCCACAGGCAGCGTGCCCACTTCCTTGTGCCCCCTCGTTCTGTTCCCCACCTTGATGAAGCCTATGGCCCTGGAGTCCAGTTGGGGGAAGGCAATGTTTCATTCCCTCAGGCTGGAGCATGCAGGAAGGACAGGCCTGTCACTTGCCCTCCCGATGGCTGATGGGGGGGCTGCTGAACTCCCTCCACAAGGCTCTGACATCAGAGAGGGGCCCCGGTTGGTACTGTGGGGACAGCCATCGATCCCTGACCAGTGGCCACAGAGGAGCTGGGCTTCCACTGAGAAATTCGGGAGCTGCTGTGGCTAAGGTGGGGTAGGGGGTGGCCTGAGGCCCACAGGGAGCGGTTGGGATGGATGGACCGACACTGTTACGTGTGGACACACTGAGGCACTGCTGGGCGTCTGAGTCCAGTCCTCTGGGTAGGAGACAAACAGAAGGCCACCCATGGATGCAGCTGGAGGCTGGCAGGCCTGGGTCTGGTCCTGGCTAGATGGACCCTGGAACCCGAGTTTATTTGTAAAAGGGGCAGTGACTACCACCCTGGGGACTGTTGAGACTGACATGAGATTGTGGCGTTAAGGGCAGCAACCCAGTGCCTGTTGGGGGCACTCACCAGAGGGGAGCTGCTCTTCCCATGGTGAGCCCTTCACCTTCTGCTTTGACACAAGCTCCTCACAAGCTTCTTCCCCACTTTTCTGCACAGGTGGTTACCTTCTTGGCAACCTTCTTCCCACCCAGCATCTTGTCCTCCCTCAGAAATGCCAAGGCCTAGTTTAGGCTACCCCCTCCTCTGCCAAGCTGACCCCTCCTCTGAGCCCCACATCCCTTCTCCCCTAGCTAAGCACTCACAGGGCTCCATTCTTTCTGCCTGTGGTCTCTCACAGACTGAGTCAGTTGATGACGAAGGTGTCCTCTGTGTTTCTAGGTCCCTCCCTTTCCAGCTCCCACTGGGCCGCAATGCTCACTGGGTCGCTGGCTGTGAGCAGTGAGGGCCCTGGAGGCAGGTCAGGGTGATGCAGCTGATGTGGGCCTGGTGGGGGCAGGAAGTGAGATACTACAGGACCCAGAGATCGAGGCCGGGGGAGGAGGGCACGACTGTCATGCTGCCGGGGGTCTGCCAAACTTGACAGGAATGACTCTTTTAGGGACATACATTGCAGTGCTGCTAGCACCAGCCCCTCCCAAGTCCCATCTGGTTAGGTTCTCAGCAGTCCTGAGGAACCAGGTGTCAGCACCCCATCTCGAGTGGCCCAAGGGTGCATAGTAACAACAGAGCACACACCTTCCGTGTGAGGCAGGTGCTATTATTATCCCCATTCTACAGATGAGGCAACTGAGACACAGAGGTTAGGCAGGGCAGGCTGGACCTGAACCCAGATCTGTGGGTCTCTGAGCCCCCACCTTCCTGCCTGGGCGACAGCAGATCCAAGAAGAGAACAGGTGTCGTGCAGGCGGCTAATAAGCCACAGCTATTCCCGGCAGCCTCTCCTCCTCCTCCCGCACCGCCCCCGACTCCTCAGCTCCACTGTTTAGGTACCACCCAGTGTACCACAGGGTCCAGGAGCTGCCTTCCTTGGAAGCCTGGGAGGGCCATGCCCTGCGTCACACTTGGAGCCTGAGACCCCCTGACCAGGGCGCCAGCCCTGGGGCACCCAGCCCAAGTCAGCAAGCACCAGTTAAGCTCAGGGACCAGCAGCCATACTGATTTCTGACAGATGACGCTCAGCCTTGGGCACAGACGGCACCCTGGCGCAAGAGTGTGGGGGGGGCCATCCCAGGAGGACCCATGGGCGTGGAGGCTGGCAGGAGAGGGCGGGGCTCCTGGGCCTTCAGATCTGAGGTGAGATTCAGGGGCCAGCCTTGAGCAGAAGGGGCACATGGTCCCTCTTCCCCAAGCGGCTTCTCACCTGGGTGTTTACCGGCAGTTCCCATGGCCTGGGTGCCCCCTCCCCAGGAGAAATGCCACTTTCCTCTCAAGAGCCAGCAACATGCAGTGACCCCTTCGTCTCCCAGGATGCCCTGTGAGCACCCTGAGGGCAGGACCTTTGGTTTTGCCATTTCTGTAGCCTAGCACACACGTGTTGAACAAACATCTGGTGAACTGAATTGATGTGGTCTGGGAACGTCTCAGTGCTAACTCGGTTAGGCTCTGGCAGGCCTCCAATACTGTGTCCATGAGGCCCCATTAAACTCCACCAGGGTCCACCCACAACAGGATGGTATGAGGGGCTGTGAGGCCAGAAGCACTTCTGGGGTCTGGGGTCCCACCTAGGGCAAGCCGTGTCTCCCCCAACTCTAAGAGGCTATTCATCAAGGTACATTTTGGTCATTTTAATTGCAAAACCCAAGACATTTATATAAATAAGACCGCTGTGTAAAATAGGATTCACCCTTCTACCAAAACCCTTTTCCCCACGCTCAAAAAGAATATAGAAAACGCAGCTTAGAGCAGTACAAATCAGCATGCGGTCCCTGATGATCATAACTGGCAGGCCAGGTTCCCTGCTGACAGGCCGGCGGTGGTGAGGGCACTCCTGGCCCAGGCGGCTCACCAGAGGTCACCAACTGCACTGGGCCTGGCAGCTGGGGTGGGACGGGCTTCGGGGCCCGCAGAGACACGGTGGTTTGTTCAGCCTGGGGCATTGGAGAGGGGTCACCACCTCCCCCAGGGACAGGGAGAGAAGCCAGCTGCCAGCGTCCCATGAGCAGGTGAGGCTCCTTCCTAGGGCCATTTTCCTGTGGCCACTGAAGACAAGGACAGCAGACACTACGGGAGGGGAGGAGGTGGCAGGGGAGTGGGCTCCTGGGATGTCAGGGGAGAGTACCCCGGAGGGGGGACCCTGGCGTGTCCTCCTTTCACTCTGCCACATCCCCGCCTCCTCCAGAGAGCGGCTGCCCCTGCTTACACTCCAGACTTGGCCAAGACCAGCCAATCCATACACTGGGTGTGGCTGGGGAAACTGGGGCACAGGACGAAAAGAAAAGACCCCGCTCTCCCGGGCAGAACAGAGCCTACTGGGGTGACTCCTCGTCCCTCAGGGAGTGGGGACAGGGCGGGGGACAGTGTCAGGAGCACTTCCAGACGCACACGGCCAGGGTCCCTCCGAAGTACAGGTAGAGTAGATTCTTCACCTCATGTGTGATCTCAAATCCAAAGCCTTCACCGATCACCACGTGCCAGGAGGAGCCGAACTTCTTGTCCATCGTCTCCTTGATCATCTTGGCGGCGCTCTGGAATGGGTGTGGGGGAGGAAAGAGCAGGAAAGGGTCAGTTCCCCCTCCTGGGAGCGGAGGTCTGGTGACCAGGTCCTGGCGAGAGAAAGGCCTGCAGGCCTATCAGTTTTGTTCTCCTGCATAAGGAACCTCCAGAAAGCGCTTCCATACAAGCACCCAGGGACTGAAGGCTAGACATGACCTCAGCCCCGGCTAACGTGGTGGAGTGAGCGTGATCTCTGGACAGAGCCCCTAGCGTGAGTCTTGGCTTGGCCACTTCCTGCCTCATTTCTGACTCATTCCCAGTTTCCTCTGCTGGAGAAGCAGTGCCCAGGGCTGCTCCTGGCTGGGTGAAGTGACCAGTGTGTAGGCACCCTGCCGACAGTGAGGCTCTTTCTCGGCACTGCCAGGTGTTAGGTGTCTCATCAGCAAGGAGAAAAGGCTTTCTCCCACTCCCTCGTGGGTCCCACAGGCTCCATGAAGAGCCTCTACCACAGCACCAGCCCCTTCTTCTCATGCTTGCTCTTTCGAGAAGCTTCCCCGACTGTGATGAGGGGTCTGCAGAGGAACCTCCTTGTGAGGTTCCTGGGTACCCAATACCAGGTCATGGTGAGTACATGTCCCCACCACCAGCCCAGGGAGGGGGGCATCATCACCGGCCCAATACCACTGCCTGCTCAGAGCAGGAGGCTGGAGTGCACAGGTGGGGAAGGCTTTCTAAGGTCAGCGCTAGGAAGGCCAAGAGACAGGATGTGGACTTGGGCCTGTCTCCTGGCCCACTGTGACAATCTGGCATCTTGCTCGCTGCCCACCAGACTGCTGAATGGCACCCCTGGGTGGATTATCTACTGTTGTACCCCCAGCCCAGAGATGGATGAATGGATGGATGGATGGATGCCTGGGTGGGCCTCTGCTCACCGTTGGGGTGGAGCCCCCTGGAGGTGGGGACCTGACTCTTCTCCCTCTCAGGTTGGGCACGACCCTCAATGTGCCAGTCAATACCAGCCTCTTCCCTCGAGGGCCCTTCTAAGGAAGGCCCTAGCCTAGTGCCAGCAGGTCTCCCTGGAACTGGCTGCAGGGACAGGGCCACTCTATTCACGCCCAGGGGACACCAGAGGCCTGGATAGCGATACCTCATTGTTGTTGGAGAATTTCTCACAGGCTGTGACACAGAGCTCCATGGTCTCCACTCGCATCTCCTCTGGCATGTCCGAGTGCTAGAGACAGGGCGGGTAACAAAGAGAGACGCTTAGCCCGGGACCTGGTCTCCCTGTCCCAAGCTTAAGGCATGGACACTGGGTGGCTGCACAGCCCTGGGCAGAGCTTGCTGCCCCTCACCAGAGGTGACCCGTCTCTTAACTCAGGGCAGGCAGCTGAGGCTGGGGGGTGTGGAGGTCAACTCAGGCCCTCTGTAAGGTGCACAAAGCAACGGGCTCATCAGCCAAGAGATGGCCAGTAGGCCAGTTCTATGGAATGGTCCAGGACAGCCTTAGCCAGCTGACTTCAACAGCAGGGGACTGAAGGGATGACCTGGGTCCTTCCTCCTCCCAACGACTCCAGGGCCTGGCTCTGCCTCCACCTGCTCCCGGCTCCTGGCTAGGTGCCTTCCCTGCTCTCAGTCCTATGTCTCTCTGTGGGGTGCTCCAGCTTGAGCATCTAACATGGGCTGGACTTATAGGTCCAACGGCCTCCTTGACAAGCTCATGCATAAGTCCACAAGAGCCCAGGGGCTCGCTCGTCCAGCACCTTCCCTTTCTCCGTCTCTGACGCCATTTCTCTCCTGCTGTCGGGAACAGACAGACCTCAGGTGTCATCCTTGGCTCCGCTTCCCTCACACTCTACACACAATCTGTCAATGAGTCCCGCTGGCTCTATGAGGGTGCTTCAAAAAGTTCATGGAAAAATGGAATGAAAGGGTACGGAATTTTTCCATGAACTTTTCAAAGTCCCCTCATGCCTTCCAGATCTGTTCTGAGTCTGACTGTGTCTTGGCCACACTCAACTCTCTGGGCCTCCGTGGTAGTGACCTCTCTACTCTCCCCACTTCTCAAACCCTAAATCTCCTCATAATAGTGGTCTTGGCACACCAGAACACATCCTTCCTCTGGGAACTCTGGACAGATGCAAACCCCTCCTCTGTGAGCACCGGTGCCCACTGTCACCCGGGGCCTTTCTCATATCCTGCCAGCCACCCTAGCTTTTCTGTTGTTCTAGAAGGTTCACGTCCACCTCAGGCCCGTTGGGCTGCTGGTTTTCCTTGCTCAGACTGTTCTTCATCACCCGGACCTTCCGCTGCTGTCTCCCAATCTTTGCAAAGTTTTCACTTCATTGTGTTCAGGGCTCTGATCAGAGAACCCTTACCAGAAGTGAACCCCTGCTTTCTAGCCCCTTCCAAAGCAAACCCACTGCCGTTGAGTTGATTCCGACTGGTACTGACCTAATAGGACAGAACGGTGCTGCTCTACGGGGCTTCTTGGCAGCCTGGTGTGGCGCTGTGGGCTAATGCGCTGGATTGCAAGGTCCGTTTGAACCACAGGTTGGTGGCTCAAGCTCACCAGCTGCTTCTCAGAAATGCTATACAGTGTTGCTATGGGTTGAAATCACCTTGACAGCACGTAACAACAACAACAACAACGTGGGGCTTCCCAGGCTGTAAATCTTGATGGGAGCAGACTGCCCCATCTTCCTCCCATGGAGAGGCTGGTGGATTTCAACTGCTGATCTTCAGTCAGCAGGCTATTGTACCACCAGGGCACCTTTCAACCCCCTTACACCTACTTTTTCTGTTGAGTCTTTATATGGCCTGAACTGCATCCTTTAAACATTTCTTTCCGGTGGGCCAGGCCTTTGTCCTGTTCATCACTATCCACAGAGCCTAGAGCAGGGCCCAACATACAGTAGGTGGCCTAAGGAAACGCTTGTCGAATGAATGAATGAATGAAAGAATGAATCCTTGTTGACTTTCAGAACTCGAGAACCAAGCCAGCAGAGCCTTAGATTTCCTCCCTCTGCTGACCAGGGGCTGCTGAGCCCTGACCGCCTCGCCAAGGCTGTGTGGACCCTGCTGGCTGCCTGCCCGCTTGCCTCCCTCCCCAGGGCTTACCCTGACGAGAGGGAAGGTCTGCAGGCGTTTATAATCAGCCTCATCTTTCTTCCCTTCAGTCTCTCCCATCGTCCTTCCACGGTGGCCACTGCAGGGGAGGGTGGGACTTTCAGGAGGTGCTGAGACTGACAATTAAGACAGAGCCAGGAGCTTCAGGAAGAAGGCCCTGCCAACTCGGTGGGAGCAGAAAAGTGTCTTTCCCCAAGGGGTGCTGTAGAAAACAGGAAAAACCAAGAAAAGAGAGTTGGCTTTGAAACTAAAAATCACAAATTAGAAATGTCTCAGTAAAGACTTGACACCTCCCTGTCTTAACTCCTCCGCATCCTCTTCCAAATGGCCAGCAAGCCTACCGACGGGAGGATGAGTCAACACAAGTTGTTGGAACCTGGTGGAGAACACACTGGTGCGCTGCTGCAAGCCTCCGCTGTCATTCCCAAGACAAACACTGACTGCAGGCCAGGGCGGAGGCAGACCGAGCGGCCAGCAAGTGCCCGGCTCTGCCAGCCCATGGCCACACCATGTTCTTGACTATCTAGCGGGTATGGTCAGTTGGATGTCCAGGTCACAACTGACCAGTGAGTCATCTGCGGGAGGGGCAAGAACAGGAAGCTTCATGCCCTCTTTGGCACTGGGAGTCCGGGGTGTATGCTGTGTCCCCTGTTCACCAGCAGTGTGGCCTTAGGTCTCAGGTTCCTCATGCGTGACACCTATCTTGTGGGGCTGTTATGAGAATGACGTGAGACACCGGACGGAAAGCAGATGACAGACACACAGTCACTTCTCATAAGGTGGTGTCCCCGCCCTCGGGCTCCGGGGTGAATCAGATGAGAAACTGGAAAGTTCCAAGGCCTGCTACATGTGAGGGCTGGCGTAACCCAGTTATCTCTCAACAGATGGGACTTTTCCTAAAGAGACTGGGGTGGATCCTGAGTGACAGGGCACGTTGCTAGAAATCTGGTGTTTCTCCTCCTAGGAATGTAGCCTCAAATTCCAAGGGCCTTTGGTCTCCAGAGAATGAATATAAATTACCTTATTGTCAAATCTCTTGAAACAATCCATATTGGACAAATATGTGGGGGCTTCCAAAAGTTCCTGGAAAAATTCCATTCTCTTTCAATTCTATTGTTCCAGGAACTTTCTGAAGCGACATCGTATGTTCAAATAATAGTCTAGCATTTCTCACTTTTCCAAAAAAAAATTGTCCTTTCACTGCATAGCCACAGAGCCACAAAGATGCCTGGCACAGTGACGAATAGGCAGGTAACAGGAGATAACCTTTTTTAGGTTTCCTATGGACCAGTTACTGTTCCCTGGCCTAAGTTCAGGGCTGTAATAGCCCTGTGGGTTGGGTCCTGTGCACACAGAGGCACAAAGGAGTTACGGTGCTGGCCTGGGATCACGAAGCAGGTGATCCGCAGAACAGGGCTTTGAATGCAGGCTTGGACTCAGGCTGAATGGCCCTCACGGAACGTCAGCGGAACTTCACCTTGTGGGGCTTGTGTGAGCCCAGCTGGGAGAGATGGCGTCCAGCTGCCCTTCCAACTTTCAAGCTAACTTGACCCTATCTGTGCACTTTACCTGGGCTGAGCTCCTAGGCCCAACCCTCGCTTCAGAAGTCACTCCATTTGGCTGGTGCCTCTGACCAGGCCTGGCATCAACAACAAATCCTCCCACCCCCACCCCCCGAGGACACGGGTTCTGATTTCCCAGTAGACAGACGGCTCCTCTTAGCTCATCAGTTCTGGACATCTGCTCTGAGAGCTCAAATATTAGCGGGTCTGTTTGTCCCCACGTATAAACTGGCAAATTACCCACCAGAAGCTCGTTGTACTCTCTGCTCAGGCTTCTTATTTCAGAGTCTAGTGAATCATATTGCCTTTTCACTCATTAACGTTAAGGACTGTCTCTGATCGCATTCTGTCCTCTTAGCTTCAGTCACGGGCTGTGCATTGCTGCCTCCTCCTCATTAGTCAAGATGTAACAGAAGGTGGTGGCTACAGCAATGATGAAAGAATTCAGACCTTGATGCCTTATTTCCAACATGTTCAAGTGGGAACAATTTAAGACACTGAAGGAGTTGCTTGGGCATATTCTACCCAAATCTTTCAACTCTGTTAAGATTCACTTGGATCTTGGGGCCTAGAAAATGCCAGTGTGCGAGCCTGAAAGGGGATTCGGAGACCAATCCTGCACTTGCCCATCCTCAAGGTCACACCTCTGCTTGGACTTCACTTGAGTCAGCGTTCTCACCAAAGGGGCAACAAAGGGGAGACAGCCACAGGAACGACTGTCAGGGAAGCACCTTGTAAGAGTTAAGCAGTGTTGGATGGCGCAGGGTCACGAGCCAGAACACTGAGATTGACCACCAGTTCTAGCACAGAAATGAGTGCTGCTCACGTCTTCCTTCGTAACGTTGGGCAGCTCACTGAACCTGAGCTTTAGTTTCTTCCTCTATAAAATGGGATGTTAAATCCCATCTTCTCATTCTCAGAAAGCGATTGCAAGCACGGAGTATATACACACCCAAGCCATCTGAAAATGGTACAGCCCTCTGCTCTACTGAGAAGGCACTGATCTCTCACTCGCTCTCTGTCTCTCTCTCTTGTTTTCTAATTTGCCATTCACCAACTCCTACTCATAGTGACCTCATGTATGTCAGAGGAGAACTATACTCCACGGGTTTTTCTGAGGTGCCTCAGGGTGAACCTGAATTTCCAACGTTTCATTTAGCAGTTGGTCATGTTAACATTTACAGCTAGGGCCTCCACGCTCTGCCACCACCATATTACTGGCCAAGACCTCATCAATAGTGTTTAATCACATGATGAAGGACATGGGACTGGTGTGGCACTGCAGGATCAGCACTGGACTGCGAACCACAAGGTTGGCAGTTCAAACCCACCAACTGTTCCTCAGAAACCCTCTATACAGGGGCGCTAAGACGGTTCTCTATACAGAACCAACCTGATGGCACCTAACAACAACAACAACATTACGCATGATGGTAAGCAGCTTTTCCTACTCACCACACAGACAAAGGTAAATAATACAAAGTCACAGCAACTTTTATTAAACAAAACCGTAAAGATAAGAAGCGATTGCATCTCAACATATCCCCCAGCTAGACCTACATGGTTCTGAAGGTGGAATTTCCATCTCTGTAACCCTTCCCTGAAGATGTCCGCGCTGATTTACGCTACATCAAAATGGCAGTTCTGGTCTCCTCGGGGGAGACCTTCGAAGACCTTTGAAAGGTTCTTTGAGTTGGGGGAATAAAAGGAAGTCTGAAAGGGCAAGATGAGGGCTGGACGGTGGATGGGATAAGGTTTCCTAATGAAATTCTCAGATGACGGTCACTGCTACTCTCCAAGAATGAGCTGGCGCACAACTTTCCTGGCCTTTCTCTCATCAGTATGGTCTTCAGTTTTCTTAAAACTTCTCCATAATAAGCCCCTGTGATCATCCTGTGTCCTATAGAAAAATCTATTAAGATGACCCCCTTGAGGTACCAAACAAGTCACCGTAAGCTCCAAGCGGACTCCTCTGTCCAGCAGATCCCCTTGGAAGCTACTGTTTAGATTGGATGGCTGTTTGGAGGCATTCTAATGAGACTAAGACAAGTATGTTACCGAGAGAACCTCTCTTCAGCTAACCACGAATCACAGAGACGTTTAAACAAGTTTCGTTTGGAAAAACTAGTGCGTGTATGAACTGAAAGCTGAGTAGCAATATTTTCCCACTTACCCTGGCACTTCTGGGGACTCAGGAGGGGTGAGACTTACAGACTGGAATGGAGCAGTACCAGATGATGTGTTTCCAAATGCAGAAAGGTAGGAGAGTTTTTGATGACGCTGTATCATTATAGACAGCTACAGTTATTCAACCATGATAAAAAACCCTGCTGGAAGAATGGTACCAAAAATAGCCGAAGCCAAGGTTTTAATAACCTCATCATTCCTCCATGTAAATGAGTGAGTGCCTGAAAGCTCCAGGTCAGCAAGACGCTGCTCAGGCTTGGGTGGGTGTCGATGGCCAGGGTACTCGGGTCTGCCTGGGGGACTGGAACGTGACCCCGGATCCGGCTGGCTAGTGGCAGGAAGCAGGAGGCAGCCTGCTCACCCTCTGCCTTACTTCTTCTCCTCCCTGCCAGGCCCCTCTGCCTGCTTTTACAGCCCACCCACATCTGAAGCGAGGCTTCTCCCAGGCCACAGGAGGCACAGAGCTAGGGCGCTTGATCTTACTGCCTTGCTGTGAACCTCTGGTTCTTTCATGGCACTGCCCTCCCACCACTGATTTCTTGGCTACTGAAGCATCAGGGAAAGATCCTGGAGGGGGCTGTGGAAAGGATGGGAAAATGAATGGATTCTGGAAAACAAGGCTAGGTGAGTCGGCTGGCCCACTAAGGGGCCCCAGGCACTCTATGTCTAGAATCCTCAACCCTCAGATGAGCACTTACCACCCTGCCACCAGCCACCAGCTCTGGGAGCACAGTGGTTATGAGTCAGGCTATGAACCTCAAGGTCAGCAGTTCACAACTACCATCTGTTGCTCACAGGAGAAAGATGAGGCTTTCTGCTCCCCAGACAGACTGAGGACACAGTGCAATGCACAGGTGTGTTGAGTTCACGCTCCATAGGCAGACCGAATTCACATCTCAGACACAGGCTCACTTCTCCAAGCATTTGGTTTTTCCAGCTGGGAATAAAACAACCTCTACCTCAGAAGGTAGCTGGAAAGATGATGGAAGGCAATCCAAGCACGGGGCCACACGGAAGCAGCGTCCCACACAACCGACATCCCTCCTGTGACAGAAGGGAGCAGTGATAGCCCTTCTTCAGATACCAACCAACTGACCCTCTATATAGTCAGCCACACAAAACTGCTGTTACCAATTTGCCACTGACAGGAAATTCTCTGGAAGACAACTTGGCTGCGGGCCGAGGTGCTAGCAGTGCGGCTACATTGCGTCACCAGACTCCTTGTTTCATTTCATCATCAGAGCCACACTTTGAGGGGTATCGGCCTCAGACAAGGCACCTGAGGCTCAGACACTTGGTTGGTGGCTGGTGCCAGGTCACACAGTCTGCAATGGCAGAGCCAGGATCTGCGTCTGGATCCATTTGGCCTGACTTCTACCATCTGTATGTCCTTCTTTGTTCCAGACAAATAGGAGAAAAAGAAAAGGACACAAAACAACTTCACACTTGGCAACCACCAGGCCACTGTCTGCCCCGTGCATGGCTCCGAGAGCCCCAGCCTTAGCCACACTCTGGTCCCTGCCCTGACTCATCCGCCCCCTGCCTTGTGGCAAACAGACACACAAGAGCGATGAGGAGAAAGGGAGTGAAGGGCTTAGAGACACTCCTCCAGGTTGTGAGCAGTGGGGCTGGAAACAGTGTCAAGACCAGGTTTCTCAGAGGTCTGGGTTTACTAGAGCAGCGGAAATGGGGCCACAATCACAGACATGCTCAGTTTTCACTTTAAAACAAGCATATTGAAAAACTTCTGCATCCCCCAAAAGGCAGACAATGCTAACAGGAAGGCAGTAACTGCAGAATAAAGGACAGCTCCTCTCAGATACTCACGCCCAGACCTTTCATCCGCTGTCCACTGAGGGCCAGTGGAAACTAAGGATGTGCCTCAGAGCCCAGCAGGAGAGAGAACGGGAGAGTGAAGAAGAGAGCAAACCGCCCCAGTTCCTAAGGCATTCTCTGTTTCTGTGGAGTAGTTTGGACCCACCATTTGGCACATTTGCTTTATATGGTGGTGGTGGTGGTTATGTGCTGTGGAGTCGGATCAGACTCATAGGCTGTAAATCTTTACAACAGCAGAAAGCCTCATTTTTCTCTCACGAAACAGCTGGTAGTTTTGAACTGCTGACCTTGAGGTTAGCAGCCTGACTCATAACCATTACTCTACCAGAGCTCCTTTGGCTTTATCTACAATACCGGTATTACGTACAATGACATGACAATGGTGCACACGACACGACCTCCTTGCTTGGGGTAAATCCCACACATGTACCAGGTCACAGAGCACACCAAAGTCATAACCATCTACACAAGACACAATGGGTGCCTCCTCCCCACCCCTACCCCCCACTCAAGAGAACAGACAGATGTGGATAAAAGGGACAGAGAGAGGAATAAACCTGAGTTACCATGGATTTATCTTAAAAAACCGATCACTTTTGCTAATTCTGGTGACAGCTCACCAATTACGATTCAGCCACATGTTATGTAGCCAGATATGGGCCTGAGACTGTTGTTCCGACTCATTTGTTGCTGTCGTTAGGTGCCATCAAGTCAGTACCAACCCATAGCGACCTAATGCACAGAACGAAACACTGCCCCATCCTGGGCCAACCTCACTACCACGCTTGAGTCCATCAATGCTGCCACTTTGCCAATCCATCTCGTTGGGGGTCTTCCTCTTTTTCTCTGACCCTCCACTTTACCAAACATGATGTCCTTCTCCAGCGACTGCTCCCTCCTGACAATATGTCCGACCCCTATATTGGGTTTCTGAGGCTGTAAATCTTTACAGGGCAGAATGCTTCATCTTTCTCCTGGACTCAAATCACTGACCTTGTGGTTAGCAATCCAGTGCTTATCCTACAGCACCACCGGTGTCCCACCCACCTGAAGCTGGGGGCCTGCATTGAGTCTTCTCTGGGTCATCTCCTAGAGCACCCAGTCCAATGTCTGGCACATAGCAGGAGCCTAACAAATATTTAAAATTGTCATTAAATTATCTTTGCCTCTGGGAGGGGAGTTGCTGTTTTATAGGGTTTCCAAGGAGTGGCTCGCTGGTGGGTTTGAACTGACAACTTTGTGGTTAACAGTCCAGTGGCTCATCCCACAGTGCCACACAGAGGACCGATCATATCCATACAATATTTATGGAGTACAAATCTTGAGCCAGGCACCAGGATGAGTGGTTTAGCCACAGGCTCCCATTTCTTCCCAATATCGCTGCTGGCTACTGTTATTCCAGTGTTACTGAGAACCACTTTGCATCCAGCAGGTAAGTAGAGGAGCCAGGGCTCCATCCAGTATATATGACTTCAAAGATGATGCTTTTCCCAACTACTCCACTATAAGGAGAGTTGCTGACTTTAAAGAGCTTATAATCTAAAATGGAAGGAGCTCTGGTAAGGTAGTGGTTACGAATCGGGCTGTTAACCTCAGGGTTAGCAGTTCGAAATTACTAGCTGTTCCGCTGGAGAAAGAGGAGGCTTTCTGCTCCCGTAAGATTTATAGCCTCGGAAACCCTGTACAGGAACGCTATGAGACGGAACTGATTCCACGGCACATAACAACAACAACAATCTAAAATGGGAGACCAACACACACATACATACACACACGATCCTAACTGGTTCATGGCAAAAAGTGTTAAGTACCATATACAACTACATAGAGATAACTGAAGGAAAAATATTTTGGAAGCGGTGATCTGGGGACAGAGGAGAGAAATTTGATTGAGGCCCAGAAAGACGGTAGGTGAAGTGAGGAAGACATTACAGGCAGAGAGATAAACAGAGTGGTAGAGTCAGAAAGCTCAAAGCACATATGGCTGGCAGATAGAATTTGGGCAAGGAGGAGGGAGAAACGAGGCTGGGTTGTGGAAGATTAGAAAAACCTCTACTAACCAGACTTAAAAAGGTGTAGCTCTTTGGGAGATATTTCAAGATCGCTTGGTAGGTGGTGACATGGTTACTTTTAGGACAATTGTTCAGGTTGACTGGGTTGAGAGAAGAGCGTGAAGGTAAGACATCAACTAAGGTATGATGATAAAGTCCTCGCAGAGGCAGAATCCACACAACTTAGCAACCGCCCCAGTGGGATGGAAGGAGCTCTGCTAGCACAGTGGTTACGAGTCGTGCTGCTAACCCCAAGGTCAGCAGTTCGAAACTACCACCTGCTCCGTGGGTGAAAAGATGAGGCTTTCTGCTCCTGTAAAGAATTACAGCGTCAGAAACCCTACGTAGGGTCGCTAAGAGTCGAAACTGACTCCATGGTACACCACCACCAATGGACTGGGCATGACAAGGGATGGACGATGCCAAAGAATAATGCTACTGACAGAGACGGAGATGGCAGGCAGATCAGCTGGGTGGGCCAGTCTGATTTTACAACTACTTAAAGTTGTTGATGGAGTCCTGGTGTGGCACTGTGAGTTACTACACTAGACTGAAAGGTATACGGTTCAAGCTCACTAGCCGCTCCTCAGAAACCCTGTACGGGGTCGCTAATTTAACAATAAAGTTGTTGATGAGATATGATACGTTAACTAAGGAGTAAGAAATCAGCAAACCATGGATTATCAGTGGTAAAAGGAGGCCAACTAGTTTAACCATCACATCAATATATCAATCTCTGTTTACCGCCCCCTCCCCCCCAAACGTTTCGTATCCAAGGAATCCCATCGCATCTCAGAGCTGGAGATTTGAAGATCAGTTGGAAGAGATGCTTTCTAAAGAAGAAGAATGTGGGAAAGTAAGAGACAAAGGAAGAAATCAATTAATACTGAACCTACCAATCATCTACACCAAACTGAATTCTATTCCTCAATTCATATTATCCTTAGAACTCTCAAAGGGGGAGTGGAGGGGTGCGGGGCGCGGTAGTATTCAGATTTTGTATATGCACAGACTAGTTAGCGCCCAGGGAGCCAGGGAGGTTAGGTAACCTGCCTGGGGTACCTGCAGGTGAGAATTCAAACTCGGTTTACCAAGCTCTTTTTACTCCCCGCGCTATCTCCCTCGGGGAAATCTACAGTTGGATCAAAGAATCAAAACACCCTAGAATATCCGAGTTGAAGAGACCTTAGAAATCATTCAATCCAACTTCTTGTTTACCGATGGGGCAACTGAGGGCTAGCGTGAAATCGCCAACCCGCAATCCCAGTTCGTCACCTGCTCTCCAAGCTAAACGGTCTGGGCCGAGGCGTTAGGGATGGGGTGTGGGAGCCGCGAGAGGAGGGGGAATCACAGTGCTGGGGGAGTCGGATCTGAGAAGATGCGACAGCACGAAAGCTGGAGGGAGCCTTGAGATTGGGACGGAAGGAAGTGGCTAGCAGAGTTGCGATTCCGAATCCGTCAATACAGAGCTCTCAGGTTCCCCAAAGGGGACTAGGGGCTGGGGCACGGCAGGCAGGCAGCTGACTGACGAAGGGCCTCGGCGGAGGGCGAGGCCCGGCCTGCTCCGTGCTGTCTCCCGCCCTCCTTCGGCGTTGGCCCTCCCCTCCCGGATGCCCTCCGCGCCCCGGGGCCTCACCTGCTCCCGCGGGGGCCGGAGCCGAGGCCGCAGCCTGCGCACCCCCGCCAGGGTTGTCAAGGAGCGAAACAAGAGTGTCTTAGCAACCAGCAAGGAAGTCCTTCCCCCTTACCGGACATTGATGAAAATTTCACTTTTTATTGGTGGATACAAATGTCAATCAGCTTTGAAAGGCCCTACAACGCAGAAGTTTGCACGGGCAGGGGCGTGGCTTAGGCTATGGGAGGCGGAGCTTCGCTTATAGTTGTCTTAAATGTGCCTGAGGAGCCAGGAACGTACTGAAGTTCTTATTTTTAGAGAGGCAAACTTCGAAAAACAGGATTGCTTTGGGAGTTTCTTCTAGTCATTTGATATAAAAAAGGCATTGTGTGTGTGTTTGTCGTGGCAGCTATTATTAGTGTTTCAAAATCTAATAGTAACTAGCGTTTATGTAAGGCTTTACAGTTAGCAACTCACCGCAATACTTTTGGGTAATTGTGTGATGCTGTAAGTTCAGCACTGGACTGCGAACCAAAATGTCGGCGGTTCAAACCCAACAGCCGCTCCTAGGAAACCCTGTACAGGGTCAGAATGGACTTGACTGCACTTAACATTCCTAGGAGCTCTGGTGTGCACGAACGCAATGTCAGAGGTTCAAGCTCACCATCAGCTCCTAAGAAACTGTATAAAGGGTCGCTGTTACCAACAACATTCCTAACCCCATATGAACTATCACAAAGGGTAAGTAACTTGTCAATGGAAAGAATTAAACTCCCTGGAGAAGGAACCCATGTGCTCTTTACACTACACCACACCTTCATGTGATCATAGACACTGTCGGCCAGAGCCTGCCTTTTTCTTCCCTTTGGAAAGGAAAATTAATCTGAAAGTACCAGTACAACCGGAGGAAAAAAGGGCAAGAAGCACAGATTCCAATATTTGACGGGTGGATCTTATGTTGATGAGAACTCCGCTGCCACATTTACTGGCACCTTCTGGGAGCTGAGCCCCGGCCAGGAGCTGGTGATTCAGAAAGGAATAAGACTTAGAACCCAGAATGTGACAGTCCTATGGGGGATGAATGGCAGGGTGGAGGGGTAGTACATGAATAAATAGAAAAAATAACTCATTCTACCAGTGCTGGGCTAGAGGTGTAAGCTAGGTGTTGCAATAACCAACCAAGGAGAGAGAAACTAACTCTCTGTGGAGGTGTTGGTTGAGTCTAACATAACCAGCAGGCTAATGAGGAGTGGGAAAGCAAGGTCCACTGGAAAACTGTGTCTCCAGGAGGCCTGGGTGGAGGATGAATGTGGACAGGCAGAAGGTGATGGATATGAAGATGCAAAGGAAGTAGGATTCACAGAGTCAGTTTTGAATGCCAGTTCAGAGCTTAGGTATGGTAAGGGTGGGAGAGCGCAGCTGTTGGAGGACTTCAAGTTGGACAGTAACATGATCAAATTTGGGTTATGGAAAGGCCAGTCTGGTGCAGATGAGGGTGGACTGGACTCCAGGTGGGTAGACAGAAGGCAGGCACTGTGGGTTTGATTTTTCAATTTTCATCCTGAGGCGTGATAGGTGATTTCCACCTTGCCTCCCTGAAGGGTCCACTGAAAGTCTCACTCAACCTCCAGTTTTCCTTAAATCTCATTGCCAACTTTCTTCAGGAGATGAAAGGTGGACTTTGAGGGGGTTGAAACTCTCGCCTCCTCCTCTCGTCTCAGCTTCTCCCAAAAAGGGTCCACATTGGCTGTCTTCTCTTTCTCACTTTCCATTCACTCCTCAGCCCACTGCAATCTGGCGTTCACTCCCACAATACCACTGAAATTCCCTCTTCCAAGATTACCAGTGACCTCCTGAGGAACAGAATCCGACAGACCCTTTCAGTCTTTAATTACTGGGTCTAGTCCTTCTGCTGGGCTTGAGCCAGTTGACTATACCTAACTTTATAAAATATCATAGAATTGTATAAACTCTTTAAAATAGAGATTCCAAGGCCTCTCTGCATCAGAATGGTGAGGGACAGGAATCTGTATTGTTCATATTCCCTCAGTGTACTTGAGAACCGTTACTCTAACCTAATAACTCTGACACCTTGTTCTCCTGGCTTTCCTCTAGCCTCTCTTTCTCTTTGGCCTCTGTGGGCTCTTCTTCCTTGCTCTCTGGGCCTTCCTTGATGCTCTTTTCTTCCTTCCAATGGTCTCAAACTTCTTTATGCCCAGGCCACCTCCTGATCAGGGTTTCGCTTGATCACACTCCCTGGGGGAATTTATTGGAATTCAGGGTATAAGGAGAGTGCACTTTGGAGAGCCCCCTTTGATTCTGAACACTCCGCCAAGAAGCCTTGCCATTCCCAGGCGTATCTTGTTGAGACTTTCTGCCTCAAGGAATTCCTTGATGATTTCATCCACTCCCATGGTTTTCATGGCCAATACCATTCTAAAGTTTGATGACTCCTGTTTTCCTCTCTACAAGTTCGGCCTTTCTTTTGAGCTCCAGACCTAAATGTCCAGTTACCCACTAGCCATCCCCACTGGAATGTTCCACAGACCTTTCTAACTCAGTGTGACTCTATCATCGTCCCTAATCTGGTCTCCCTGCATTTCCCATCTCAGTCAATGGTACCACTCACTTAATTGCTCCTCTAGCAACCAGGGAGTTGTTCTTCACACTTCCTCCTTCCATCTCCCACTCCCAGTCAGCCATGAGTCTGCCAATTCTGACTCCTAACTGCCTCCTGATGACAGCCCCTTCTGGCCACTTTCCTGGAGCTACCTACATTCAGTACACCATAATCTCATCTGCAGGATTGTAACAAATTCTTAATGGAACTTCCTGCCTACAGTCTTGTCTTTTATCAATCCATTCTCCATATCATAGTCAGCACGGTCCATTTACAACCCAAATCTCACCACCGTATTTCCCAGCCACTGAACACATCACCTACTGGTAACATATGGATGCCTTGGTCTGGAATTTAAGACCCTCCATGATGTGGCCTTCATGGTGTGGCCTTCCATTGGCGTGGCTCAAAGATTCATCCTCCTTCATCCCCTGTACGTGAAACCCCAGCGACACCAACTCAGCTCTTCACATACTGATTAATATCTCACCTTTGCTTAAGTGTCCATCCTGTCCACATTCTTCCTCTGCCACTTTGTCCTTTTCATTGTGTAAGCCCATAGGCTTTTGTCCTAAGCTTGCACTTCTCAGAATTCCATCAACTGCAACCACAAGAGTCTTCTTTGCTCCCACCTGATGCATATTTCTGTCACTTCTCTTCTTCACCATTTTGTACTTGAGTTTAATTTTATGTCTTCTGTGACCTCCTTGAGAGCAAGGACCTTGTCCTATTCATTCATATATATGTATACACACACACACACACACACTCACAGAGCTTTTTATTGTGAATTGATTGGTAGTTTACTTGGCAGAACATTGGTTTTGCACTCAACCAATCACATCTTGTTTCACTGCAATGGTTGCAATCCCCTCCATGCGCTATCAGTTAACAGTATTTGCCTCTATTCCTGCTTTGTTTTCTTGTTTTGTTTTGGTGTACACAAAAACACGTAGGAATGTATAACCGTTTAAACAGCCAAGGGGCATGTTTTGCTGCCAGCACACAGCCTTTCTCTTTCCATGAGTCTGGAGTCCTCAGCTGCTGTATCTCTTCATGCCATCACCTCTGCCTCCATTTTTGGTGTCGCTGCTTCTCTGGTTAGGGTCCCACATTCTGCTCATGCTCTTCCTTCTTGATAGTCCTAGGGTCCTGTTACTGGAATGTAAGATTAACTATTCCCTGTTTTTTGTTACACAACTTCTACCTTTACAGTTGTGAAAAATCACAGTTAGTCATGATAACAATTACTTACTATTGAATCAAAAGAATCCTATCCCATCCCCATCTCCTTTCACCATACTCATCTAGACAAGATGAAAACTATTCAGTGGGGATTCTACCTTCCCCTCCTCATTCTGAAACTAAATTTTCTCTTGAGAGCTTGTAAGTCAGCCACTTCGTGCCTTTATAGCCCCTGAATTTTAGGTAGCCAATAACTCATCTGCCTGTCCCTACCCACCCGGCAGATTCATACATTCTTGGGTTCCACACAGAACTGAATCAAGAGTAGATGGTGAGCAAATGTGTCAGGAATGAATGCATGAATGAATGAATGAGGTGGGTAGGTGGTGTACCACTCTTCAAATTCAGTTCTTGTCATTCATTCCACAAGCCTCCACTTCCATTTCTACCATGCCCTTTCATGTGCTGCCCCAGCTGTTTAAAATGGCCTGTCGTGGGCAGTCTTCTGGAATCAGTTAGCAATTGGATCAGTTGCAAGTAACAGAGATTGGAAAAATCTCAAAGTTTTATTTTTCTCATGAAACAAGAAGCTGTCTGCTTGGCGTGAGTCTCAGTGATCTTATCAAGGACCTTGTTGAGCCATCACATGATGGTTGATACACCTCTAGCATCTCCCTTGTGTACCTGGACACTAAAAAAGGAAGAACAAAGGACAAGCCAGTGATTGTCAGCTAACTTAGTGCCCTTATAAGAGACTTGGTTGAAATGGTGTCACATGATAGTTATTACTTGCCAGATGCCTGACTTACGTTTTCTTATTTATCCTCAGCACCATCCAGCCAGGACAGTTAAAAAAAATTTTTTTTTATAAAGTTTTTAGTGTGAATTGAGTAAAGGTTTACAGACAAGAGCATCAGCTTTACATTCAATAAATCATATATTTTATCTCTCTTCCATAGCTACAATCTTCCCAATGGAACAGTTAACCTAATCCTTCCCCAGGTTTCCTATTTGCATTCCACTCACCTTCCTATGCTTTCTCAATTTTGTCCTTAGAAAAATGTTGCCCTTTTGATTTTAAACAATTGACAATTTTATGGTGAGTATACCTTGCTAGTGTTGTTGGCTGAAAATTGGATCATAAGGGTGAGTTCCTTTCCAAACCTGAAGGGTGGTTGAGGATCATAGTCACAGGTTCCTTCAGTCTCTTCTGACCAATAAATCAGTTTAAAAAAAAAAGAATAATTTTGAGTTTTGTTCTACATATTCTCCCACTCTATCCAGCACCCTCT